CCGTACTCCTCGCTGTCGATCTAGGGGGCAGCAGTGAACCGTCACACAGCATCAGGGCCTCCCCCAGCCCTGCCACTCCGCCCCCATTTCCCAATTTTATTTATTTTTTATTATTATTTATCCAATGCTTTTATCCAGGTACACTCTCCCTGCCAAGGATCTTAAGGGTCTTACTCAGGGACACAACACTGACGAGAGCTGGGGAGAGAGCTGTTCAGAATGACAACAGAACATCCCTGTGGGTGTGGGGGGCCGCTGATAGAGTCCTAATGGGGCCGGATGAAGGGAAACCCTTCACCAGCCCGAGACGACCAAGCCAGCTGTGACAGACAGACCCCCCCCCCTCCCCACCCCCCACAACCCATCAAAATGTGTTAACGTCTCACGCACCAAACCTAGTCTCTGCTCATTCAGGGCTGGTGTCTAAGTGGAGCCAAAAAATGGAGTGTAGAGGAGACCCAGCTATTATTCTGACTAGTAGGAAACATTTGATAGCACCCGTCCTCCTCAGAAGGAGAGGACACCAAGTGCGTGTTAGGAAACCCACCTTGCGCTGGTACAGCTCCTCCGGCGTGGTGGACCGCAGGCTGACCAGCCGGTAGTTCTTGACGACGGCACGGGGCCGTTTCCGCGGAGGCGCGAATCGCTCCATCTCCGTCACGTAGTAGAGGCCCCGCTGGACGTAGCCCAGGTATCGGGCGCGGGCGGAGCCCTCGTCCTCAGAGCCAGAGTCGTCATCGGCGGCCCCTCCCTCATCCTCTGGCCGGGGTCGCTTAGGCGCCAGTTTGGTCTCGCACTGGAGAGCCACGGAACACACACTCAGAACTGCCAGGCATTACTACCATTCCGCACCACTAGGGGGTGCTATGGTCAAGGACCTGGACGGGGACCCCCAATATTTTCCTGTTGCTCACGGTCAGATGTTTTCAGTAACTATCCAGCAGTACAAACATGAAAGCCTCAAACCTTAAATGGTGTGTCGGTTACTGAATTTAATACCCCTCTACGTTCCGTAACTGCTTACCAAGTACCAGCACAGAGTGAGCCTGAAGCCCATCGCAGGAGATATGGGCCATGAGACTAATGTATTCCAGGACACACAATCACAACTCAGAAACAGAAGTTCACCAAAATGTATACTTTTTGAACCCTGTGAGTGAAACAGTCCCAAAAGTAAAGTAGGAGGACATGTAAAACACACACACACAGACCTGGGGAAGGATTCGAACCCTCAACCCTGGAGATGTGAGGCTACAGTGCCACCTGACTTCAAAATATAAAGCGCAGATTTGACATGTGGAGCTGTTTCTTTGGTGATTCTCTCCCTTAGGAGAAAAGCTTCAAGTGCCTCCTTCCCTCCCATACGACAGCCTCTGATAGTAGGTGCACAGAACATCTATCAGACAATTAATCATGCGGCACAATTCAGAAGCTCAAGAAACCCTTTTGATAGGATAATAACGATGGCGATGTTCAGCGCGTTTCCCTCGTGCTCACAGCCTCACTCGGGTCTGTTTTTCATTAAGGAAAAAAAAAATTACTTAGTGAAGCAGACAAAAGAAAAAGGAACTAATTCAAGTGAAGAGAAAAATCCTCCTTAAAATTTTTATTCAGCTGAAAAGGCGGATGCCACTCTGGACTCCGCTGGTGTTGTCCTGTTGGGGTGCCTTATGAAACACACCTCAGGTGGGAAACAAAAGAATTACTGGCACGAGAGAGGGGGCAGCCACTAGAACTACGTCACCATTACAATCCCTAATAATAAAGAGACATACCAGCAGTCGTGTCCACTATAATTAAGGATATTATACATGTGCATTAAGAAGTCAGGGAAAATGAGGACAATCGTGGGAATCACAGCTCACTCCAACCCCTGAGGAGTGACAATCGATAAAAGAACCCATTGCACAAGGTTTTTTGGGTCATCCGAAAGACACCAGGTGTTCGCTCCTAGCCTTGCGATTGCCAGAGAGGATCATGGGAAGTGAGGAGGAGCTGTGAGAGCATTCGAAACAGTTGATGCGTCGGGAGATGAAAGTTCACATACGAGGCACGTGACACCCAGCCGAAATTCCTCTCTCGGCAAAGACAGTAAACAGCATACAATCTAAAGTCAGGGTGGGGCAGAGAGCCACAGGACGGATGGGTCGGCTGGGAAGGATCATTTATAAATACGGTACCATGCTGTGGGTGAGGCATACTACCAGAGGGCAGGGGGGGCACACAGTGAGGGGTGTGGGCGGGGCACCATGGTATGCTACAGGAGAGACGGATGGGGCCTTGAAACACAATACATGTAGGGCTGGGGGGACAGTGAATACATACAGTGAGTCCTGCTGCAACGTGACTAATGCATTACTGAAAAACCTCGTGTTCACTATAACCTCGTACTAAAATACACATTTCAATGGGAAAAATAGGGTTGGGTAACACGACACCAACACTTAGTAACTTATGCCAAACAAAATTGTAATTACATGCATGTTAAATAAGAAATAGTAATAAAACAATAATAAATTATATAATAAATATCTCCTGTGGGTCAAAAGAATGATTTGTTCATGAATCGTACATCACTATCACTCACTTGGACAGCAGTTTTTGCATGCAAAGTGTTTCTGGCTAAGACCATATCTCATAGTTTGCATAGCACTTTTCTCTGTGACTGATAATCACCTAAATACAAATGCAATTCCGCATTGTATTGTAATTGGGTACTACCATTTCAACTGCGTTACAACAGATTATTGGTGAGATACACTACATGGACAAAAGTATTGTGACACCTGGCCATTCGACCTACAGGAACTTTAATGACATTGTAAGTCCATAGGCATCAATATGGAGTTGGTCCCCCATTTGCAGCTATAATGGATGGCACTTTTCTGTGAATTTTTGCCTGTTCATGCAGAAGAGCATTTGTGAGGTCAGGCACTGATGCTGGACGTGAAGGCCTGGCTCGCAATCTTCATTCTAATTGAGGTTGAGGTCAGGGCTCTGTGCGGGTCAGTCAAATTCTTCCACACCAAACTCATCCAACCATATCTTTATGGATCTTGCTTTGTGCGCTGGGGCACAAGTCATGCTGAAACAAACTGCGCCTTCCCCAAACTGGTCCCACAAAGTTGGAAGCATAGAACTGTCCAAAACGCCTTGGCGTGCTGAATCATTAAGAGTTCCCTTCGCTGGAACCTTTAAGGGGCCAAGCTCAACCCCTGAAAAACAACCCCAAACCATTATCCCTCCTCCACCGAACTTCACAGTCGGCACAATGCAGTTCCATGAAACTCCCGGCACACAGTTTTGTGCTGGGGTTAATGCCAAAGGAAGTTTCGAACTCTGCAGTTACCGAGTTAACCAAGCATTGGTGACTTATACTCCTTATGTGCCTTAGCACTCGGTGACCCCTGCTCTGTTACGTTACATGGTCTGCTGCTTCGCGGTGGAGTTTCTGTTGTTCCTAGATGGGTTCTACTTTGCAATAATACCACCTACAGTTGACTGTGGAATATCTAGCAGGGAAGAAATTTCACAAACTGATTTATTGCAAAGGTGGCATCCTATGATGGTACCACTCTTGAATTCACTGAGCTCTTCAGAATGACCCCTTGGCCTTTAACAACCTCTCCACCTTCTGGGGGAGCAAGGTGCCTTACCTCCAGGCTAAGGAAGCCGCCGTCGTGGGCGGCGGTGACCATTGGCGACGGCTCGAACCACTCGCATGACTGGCCCAGCAGGTTGCGCAGGCTGTGCACGGACGACACGGTCAGCGAGCCCGAGCAGCGGGCCAAGATCACGGCGTTCTCGCTCCACCAGTTCACGTCCACCAGGGGGTAGTACTGCTCCTTGTCTGCGCAGGCAAATAAACAAAACAAACAAACAAACTGTTGCTATGGTTGCCGAACGTTCAGTTACTATTTACCACCTTTCCTGCTAATTCTCCCCACCATGAGCCACTCGAGCACGAGCTGCATCTTCACCCAAAGAAAAAACGCCAGCTTAATAACACCACGCATCAATCTCCCTTCTCTCAGCTCGCGCCTCCTGTTCTCTGTGCTCCCCATATCATCACCTCCCCCGTCAGCCGCGCGTTAATTATGGCACCGTTATGCCTCTGAACGCCGCACGGCACGGAGCCCCGGGATGTTCCCAGCCACTCCAAAGACACAAATACCTTTTATTTTCTTCCTCTTCTCCAGCGAGTTCTTCCACTCCGGGTTGATCTCGTCAAATCCGGGCTGCGGGAAGAAGAGAGGCGGTTAAGCCGCTTACTGCCCGCCTGCCACACGTGGGCAGGGCTGGGTTCGATGCCAAGCCCAGCGACCGACCGGCGGGTAAACCCAGGCCGCTACCGGGAGGGGAGTGAGGCACACTGGCGAGTGTTGCAGGGGTTGAAAGTAATCCCCCCGATTCTGGGATTAGAGACATGAGGGATTAGACCCCGTCTCCCTACCGCGGGAGGCCGTCGTCGCCGCCACCGCCGTTACCTGGGCTTCCTGCATCCAGCTGCCGTGCTGCCGGAGCGACGGGACGGCCCAGAAAGTCAGGAGGCCCGAGAAGTGAATGACCACCAGGAGCGTGCTGTCGGGCGACAGGCTCATCCGGAAGACGCCGTCCTGGGCGGCGAAAAGAAAACATGCCATGTGACCTTTGACATTCAGGCGTCCTCCTCCGGGGACCGTCCCCAGACTGTTCTGCTTGTTCCCGTGACGATGCACCACAGCCAGCCCGGGTCTCCGCAGCCTTTTAAACCGAGAGCCCCAATTTACAGCCGGCGGACCTTAAGTCGTTTAGGGATTTTTTTTTCCCATTCTTGTTCAACTGGGGCAGCCAATTAAGAAGTAATTTCTTCTCGCTTTGGACAACTAGGGGACTACAGGCCAGGACAGGTGGAGCGAGGGAAGTGCGAGCCGGAGGACTGACAACCCCGTCCTCCACGCTTATTCCGACACCTGGGCCGCCCAACACAGGGAAGCCAATTTGGAGGGACTGGACATGGAAGCAAGGTAGCCTGCAGGTTCATACTGACACCTCGCTCTCCCCTGAAAGGCCATCGCCACAGGAACCACAGGAAATCAGAATGGTGATTTCTTACAAAAAGAAAGACCTTCAAATCACAGGCCTCTCTGTGGGATACTGGTGACTACCTGGTCCGGCAGTATCTGGCTGATATTTTTACAGCTTATAACAGATGTGACATGCACTAAGGATTTCTGGATAGCTGGAATAGAGTGCTTAGTCGAGTCTGTCAAAGACAAAAAAAAAAGCATAATAAAAAGCCTAAGGCTGATTACCTTCTCATTGGTCTGTCGCGCAAAGAGCCGAAAGCTGGGTAACCTGAAGAGGCCTCTTCTCTGAGCCTGCGGGAGGAAAATCACAGTGACCCACAGCAGCAGTGCTATGGAGCACGGCCAGAAGGGGGCGCCAGCTGCTAAAGACCCCAGGGCCTCCACAGGATGAATTTCAGCATATGGAGGGGGCTGTGGTACCAAGACAGATGGCTGGGGGACAGAGGACACATCACATCCACCCTCAGGGGAAGGAGACTCACCGAGCCCACGTCATCCTCAGAGCTCGTCACCTGCTTGTAATGCGGTGACCCGGACAGGACCCTCCAGGCCGTGAGACCGCAGCGGGTGGCTCTGGAGGCGTCACCGTCCCCCCCCTCGCAACCACCCACCAGCAACAACCTGGACACAGTGGGGAAAAAGGGAAGTGATTTGTTTTCAAACTATGACTCTGAGCATATCATAGTCCCTCATGCTCAGTCAGCATTATGTCCCCACCTGGTTGCAGGTTTATATACCGGTATCCAGACCACATTCAGACAGCACATCACATCCCATCAGAACATCACGCCTCCTAACTAAGCTCCCACCTCTCATCAGGACATCCCACTTCCCGCCATAGAGCCCCACCTCCCTCAGAGGACCCCCCCTCCTACCATAGAGCCCCACTTCCCGCCATAGAGCCCCACCTCCCTCAGAGGACCCCCCCTCCTACCATAGAGCCCCACTTCCCGCCATAGAGCCCCACCTCCCTCAGAGGACCGCCCCTCCTAC